ATGATGATAGTGATGATATTGGTGACGATGATGATGGTAAGGATAATGGTGATGATGATGATCATTATGGTGATGATGGTGGTGGTGATAATGATGATGGCGATGATCACAAATATATATGGTGATAATGATGATGATGATGAATATGATATTGATGATGCATGATGATCATGATGATAATGATATTGATAGTGACGATGATAAAGCATAATACAATATCTAATTATACCTGTTTCCTTACTATAGATATTGACGAGTGCACATCTGGTCTTCATTATTGCTCTGTAAACGCCACATGCAACAACACAATTGGCTCATTCCAATGTGTCTGCCTTCCCGGCTTTGAAGGGGATGGTATCACTTGCAAAGGTAAGTGAAATTTAAACGAAAAAGAGAAGGAGAAGGAGGAGGAGAAGGAGAAAAAAAAAAGAGTAAAAGAATTACAGCAGTCACAAACCAATAAATTTCTATTTTTTAACAGAAAATTGGATCAAAGCCACCTATGAAAACCAACTTGTCTGCGTTGGAGCAAAAGACGATGCATTTGGGGTTTTTTCCGTTCCTTTCTCAGGGACAATCAAAAGGATTAAGTTCGTGCATGTATCGGGTGGTGTGGCTTGGGGTGGTGGGGCTTGGTATCAGGGGCGCTGGGGAGACAAAGCCACACGAGCCTTTGAACTGCACATTACGAATAGCCTCAATCAGCGAGTCGCTCCCCCCGTAGGTTACCCACTCATTAATAAAAACGGTTTGCGATATAAATTACCAGGTCAGGATTTTATGGACCCACAAATGATATTTCCAGACTTCAATCCATTCTTACCTGTAGCCAAGAATCAGCAGTTCAGAGTTTGGTTTGGAGAAGATCTAAAGAATTATTATGATAGTGATAACAGTGGCCAAACATGTTTTCACGTGTATATACTTTTTGCACAGCGTGTCGGCTAACCTACAGGCATTCATTAGCAGAAAAACATTAGGCCCCTAAACTTAATTTTCTAAAAACTCGTTGTCAGTCCTTAACTCGTTTCTAAAGTCGGCAATATTGTACGTTACATTTAATTGTTGTAAAATTCCGTGCAAATGATAAAAGATTGAAGACAAGTTTAATGAACACTTTCAAAGTGCATGAGTGATAAATAAATAAAAATGTTGATTGATCTGTTGATACAAAAAAACTTAAGTTTTGCATATCATTATCAATCAGTTTACACCGTTTTGGTCAGTGTTGAAAAGCCTGTTTTAGGAGCGTGTTTCAAAGTTAACAGGCGCAGCAAAAACCTACAAATATAACGACGGCTTCTCGACTTTACTGCTGACAGAATCACACACACAGCACACATACAAAAAGAAACGTTTTCAGTGGAAGACGTGATTGGTTGAAAAAGAGTTTGTCTTCTGTCACTAGCTCTGCATGAACTACTGGTTTCCAAGGAGATTTCCGCAGTCAAATTGAGACAAAATCTTCACGAATCCTGACCATCATGGACGTTCTGCCAAATCATCTTGTGCTGAATACGATAATTGCTCTTGTCCTTAATCCAGGCATATTAAATTATATAAAAGGTATGTCATTTGAAATTTACTTTCTGGTTGTTTTTTTTTTGGGAAAAATGAGAACGGATTAGCTAATGCACTGCTAATGCTACTAAGCTAGAATAATTATATAGAATACTAAATGACGGCATAGTGAATTGGAGAATCCTCGAGGAGTCCAAAACCAGGCTAAACCAACATGTTTTACATATTGTAGCCAATGTATCTCTTTTCGTTTTTTAAAAATACAGAACTTTTTTTACCATATCAAGCTTTACTCTGTATGTTAATGTCGAAGTTGGAGTAGAGAAAGCTCACTCCATATATTGTATGATCAATTCCATATTTGGAATGTGCGGAAAAGCGGCAAACAAAAAGGTCGTCGTTTTATAACGAATTTGGCATGAACATTTTTGAAGAAGAAAAGAAAAGAAAAAAAAAAGACAAGTAAAAAAAGAAAAAAATTGGAAAATCGAGGAAGGATACGGGGACGATGCTAACTCGTGGGTCTGCCCTCAGGAAATACGACACTCAATAATTGATATGTTTTGCTTTGAGTTTCTAAATGGTTATTTCTTAAGCACTTCAATTTTGGACTATTCCCAATGTTCAAAGTGTTAAGTCCTTTACTCTGTTTCGATTTAAGGCAGTAAATAAGAGTCACGAGAAAGTAAATCAAATTTAGGTATTGGAATGAAAAGCTGTTTGAAGTAATATAAGTTGGATTTTAAACCATCCAACTAGCAGTTCCAATAAAAATAAAACGTTTTGGTTTTTTAAGGAGTTAGTGAAGTCTCAGCATAAACTCGTAGGCAGTCATTACTACGGGATTCTTATAAAGATAAAAACACTGATAATCGCTAGTAAAATTAAAAATTATTTCGAATTTGAACTTAGTAGAATATTCAATAAATACATATATCCAGAAACAAAGGAATATCAAGGTATAAGTAAGGCCCCGTCCACACGTATCCGCAAATTTTTGTATCCGCAAATTATTTTTGCGGATACGAAAATGTTTGCGTCCACACGCAGCGTATTCGAATCGTTTTCACCGTCCACACGTATCCGTTTTCGTAAARTTTGCAGATACGGACACAAAAATTTGCGGACACATGTGGACGCAACCCGTATCCGCAAAAAAATAATTTGCGGATGCAAAAATTTCCGGACACGTGTGGACGGTGCCTCAAGGAATCTCTTTACATTGTATATTTCAATTTTGTCTTTTGTTGGTTTGTTTCTCTTTGTTCTAACACGCATGCAGGTGCTTGTTCTAAAGCGACTAATTATCGCCTTTAAACTTGCTCCACGATGAACGGTAAAGGCTAGCGACCCTACTGCTTAGGGGGAAAGAATACAAATGAATGCATGTGTCGCTAGCTAGAAACAAAGTTCCTTTACCTTCATGAAAGCAGGAGAGGAGAGGAGCGGAAATGAAAGAAAGTATATGAAAAATGGAAAATAAGAAACGATTTTCTATATATATTTCGTTGCACAGATAACTAACAAGAAAATTAGCACTTTATGACGTCATAACAGAAACCAGCTAAAACCTTAATTAATTTATATCAATTATGGCCGAACTGAATACAGAAAACAGTTACTCTGTTTCCTTAACAACTTTTGTGCAGCTGAATTGTAATAAGTGACCTATGACAATTGAACTTATTAGAGAAGATTTTTTGTCGACTCATTTTATTCATTTAGTAAGGATATTTCACTCACTAATTTCAAAAAGGTTTCAAAAAAGAACTGTATTAATTTAGTTAATTTACCATTTAGGGATAAATTATTATTGATGTGAGACTTTTTCAAAAGCTTAGATACATAACGGTTAAAAATGACGCAGTTCAAACGAAAAATCCTTGTACAATAAAAACGATGTTTGCAAGAGTTTTACACGGGAACGTTTTTTTTTTT